CTCAACAAACTGGATGTGTTTCACCGCACATGCCTGAGGAGAGTGCTGAGGAGATTCTGGCCCAACCATCTGAGCAACGAAGAGCTGAAGAAGCCACAGGGAGTACGCCGGTGTCAGTCCTTATACGAGTGAGAAGATGGCGATGGTTAGGGCATGTACTGAGGAAAAGTCCTGACAACATCTCGAGGACTGCATTGACGTGGGCACCTGAAGGTAAGAGGAGGCGAGGTCGACCGAGAGAGACGGGGAGAAGAACAGTGGAGAAGGAAAGGAACAAGCTCGGATGGCATACATGAGGAGCTGATGCTGCATCGGCCTCAGACCGGGATGGATGGCGTGATCTTCTGGCCGGCCTCATGAGTCCTCATGGGCCCGATGAGGATGAGTGAGTAGCAGTGTGAAGAGGATTTAGGTGAAGTTTTGAACGACTAGTAGATTTATACTAAATAAATAGAAACACGATTTTTAACCAATCAGCGCGCGTATTTTTTTAGGACTGTTTTCTAAAAAGTGTTATCGTTATAACAGCTAAACTACTCTACTGACCTGTTACCCAACCAGCGATCGATGGAACGAGAGTGTATTAATAGCACAAGCACGAAAACGTTCAATGTTGCTAGCACCCAGGTGAGACCTGCGAAAAAAAAGTAGCGCTTTATTAAATAAAACTTTACCCTCTTATTAACAAATGGCAATGATTACACCCTGCGTACAGTTATCAACAGTCGCTTTATATCCTCAGTCCCAGTCGTTTTGATGGCAGCGTTCGAAGCGCACGAATCGATGTACTGGCGCTCATGCAACAGACCTTGGGAAAAAGCTAAGGGATAACCACACGCTGCATGTGGTAATTCCTTAAAATGCCGTTGCATTCGGCACTAGTAAATTCAAACCGGAATTTTTTGACCAACGGAAAGCGCCCCTTATCAGGATAAATCAGTGGCGTGTGCAATCGATTGGTTAGCCGGAGTGTGGACCATTAGTAATTGTCGAACATCATTGATAAATTTTAATCTCGTCGCTTTTCGAGTCGTGTTGTCTTGCGTTTCAAGTTTTCGTTTTATTCAGGCTGGCGCGTATTCCTACACTTTGTTCGACCGAAAAATACCAACGAGCCAATGTCAGTCCCAGAGAATCAAAGCGCCCGACTCTTCTGTGTTTGTATGGCCCTTGCAATTTCGTTGTCTCTTACCACGTTAGCCGATAACCAGTTAAAAGAATTTAGGGCGTTTGTATAACCATTTTGCGTTCTTTTCGGCGCGCGCGTTGCAGCGCGTCCAGTTAGCAGTTTTAAATCTGTTAATTAGTTGACGTTAAATGCGTTAAGCCCTGCTAATTAAAACAACCACGTCATCAAATTATGAATTATAAATACGTCACAAAACCAGGCAAACTTAACAAACAAACATATTATTGGTATTTTTTTGGGGGGGGGGGGGGGGGGCAAACGTTTTCAAGTGTTCGGTGACTTTTTTCTAGTCTGAATTTATTTTGAAAACGAGGAAAACGTTGTTATGGAGACCCTAATCCAAATTCCATCCATTTGGCGCATTTGTCCTAAATTGCGGTTGGCCTTGAGCAAAAGCATATTCTTAAGCGCGCGAAAACTTAAAATATTTTTAAAAAATCAAAAGTTCAAAATGTTCTTTCAAGTTCCTTATCGGTCTTATCGACCGGAAATGTATACTTAATGGTGAATTTTCTGCTGTGGAATAGTTTTTGAGGCGAGGTAAAAGACAGACATATCAAGAGAGATGAAAGAAATCGAGAAAGGCAGTTTTTATTCTTAGAAAATTTCCGTGAATTCGATTAAAATAACGAAGAATTATGTTTTGAGGTTGCAGGAAGAGGTCAAACTGATAAAAAAATGTATAAAAGGGAAGCGGATGGTTAAGAACGAGGGAGATTAAAACGGATTGCCGGCGGGTGAGAATATTACGTGTAGACTGCATTTTCCGCGCGCTGCGTTCCCTTTAAACGTTCTTTGTTGTCAAGTCTTAGTTCGTTGTAATTTTCTCACCTCTTGAAGCTTAAATCTTATTTTGAAGAAGGAAAAATCTTTTTTACTTAGCCAAATTTGTTTTTCTTTGGAGGGAGCCGTAACTTTTACGAGTATTGCACCCGAGCCGAGAAACTACAAACTTTACATATTTTTTTAAAAAATCAAATGTTCACTTACCCCACGGGTATCCTTCCACGTCAAGAAAACATTCTTCTATCCGATACAAAATTGCGGTTAGCATTAAGCTGCAAATAGTATGGAGCATAATTCGACACACCTCCATTGCGGCGCACAAATTAGCAATATAATTATACGACGTCAGAAATCACTAATATGTTAACCTCGTGTAATTAAT